GCCGACATTTGTGTCTGCGCTCGTGTGAAACGGTGTGCGCCAAGGGAGGACGAGGGCCAAACTAATATAATTTGCTTTCACGATGAACTTTGGTCTTACGTCACTCCGATCAATCTTTTCGCGTGCCGCAGGAAGATCTCTCTTTTTAAATTACATTTTTTTTTGCTTTTTATAGTTGCCTCTTCGTGTGTTAGGCGGCATCGCCCCGGCAATGCCGTGTGTAAGAGGCGTGCTGAGTTCCATTGGGATTTGAAAGTATTTAATTTAATTTTCTTGCTTTCTGTGCTTGCTGTTTTTGGGCGCTGCACCTCTTCGTGTGTGCGCATGCCCTCGCTGAGGGGACGCGGACGTCACGGGGCCCTCAATACATGTGGTGGATCCTGTGAATGTCGCCCGTGTTTTTTTTTCTTTCTGTGCTTGCTTTTTTGGGCTTTGTGTGCATGTTTTTTGTTTTGTTTCATTGGCCCCGCGTTTCTTTACGGGTGTGAGGCGCTATTTGAGTGGGGACGTTTCTTTTTTTTTTTGCTGTTTTATAATTATTTGTGTACTTGTGTGTTTGCTCTTTACGAATGTGCGGGTTTCTTAACAAATGAGCGACGCGAAGTTGGAGACGGGCGCTTTTTTTTTTGAAATCTGTGTGTTTGCCGCTTTTTTTTTGTTTTGGTTGCGGCAAATAATTCAGTTTAAAATCACGGGAAATTTTTCGTGTTCGTATTTATTTGTGCGTGTGTGTGTGTGTAAGTTCTGCTGTATTTTTCCTGCTTTGGCTACTTGGTGCAGTGTGTGAATCTGCGTGCTGTACTTCCTTTAATTTGGTGTGACTAGACTGTGCTGATCGTCTCGCCCCGCCACGTTGTCTTTTTTACTGTAGGAGATCGTTGAGAAGGTATTGAAGGTCTTCTGCTCGTGGGGTGCGGCTGCAAAGGAGTGACGAAAGACACGTTTTTATAGGAAGAGCGAGGGAGGAGGTTGGTGTCTGCGTCAGCGAGGGGTAACAGGAACGGAAGAGGCATTCATAGCGGAAAGGGGCGTTCGGATGAGCTTGGAGCAGCTGGAGGTGGGGGGCGGTGGGACCGTAGACGTTTTTTTTGTTGTCGCCACTGTCATTGTTTCCATCATCATCGCTGGATTCATTGCACGTTGTTTGTTTGGCTCTCGTGGAGCCTCCTCACGTCATCGTCACACGTTGTTGATGATTGGACTCTGTGGAAGTGGGAAGACGACGCTTTTTGCACAGCTGGTTGCGCGGAAGTGTGTCTCTACGCGAACAAGCATGGAACCCAATCGTGCAGCCATGAAGCGGCGTGCAGTTTTGTGTAGTACGGATAAAGGCGTGTTCCCATCTGTCGCGCCGTCTATGCTTGGAAATGGTGTGGACGCGTCTGTGGTGGTTGTAGACTTTCCTGGGCATCGTCGTCTGCGCGAGTCGCTTTTGCCTGCACTCGAGGAGGCAAAGAATGTTGTGGTGGTGGTGGACGCTGTAACCATTCAGGACGACCGCCATGAAGGCGCCCAGGCGCTCGCGGAGCTTCTTCTCTCTGTCTTTACCTCCTCGGCGTTTTACGGTGTTCAACGTGTACTAGTGGCATGCACAAAGCGGGATGAGCTGACGAGCTACTCCGCCAAGGCGGTACGGAAGCTGCTCGAGGTGGATATCACCCGCTGCATCACGTCTCGCCAGGGTGACCTGCAGAGCCTTGACAACATTCTTAACTCGGCTGGGGTTGTGGTGGGACGCAGCAAAAATAATTCAGGCAGTGGCAGGAGCAGCTGCGGCAGGGACTGTCGCGCTCACCAATTATCGCTGGGTGAGGCCGGTAAGTTTACGTTTGACGCATTTCCCGTTCCTGTACAATTTGTGGATGTTTCCTCCATGGTGGATCCGTCGCGGCACCCGTTTAACGTGGAGCCCGTATGGGACTTTGTGGAGGGACGCATTTGACGTGCTCATCCCGCGCCCGCGCAATCTCTCCTCTCTCTACGCAGGGATGCGGGTCTGCCGCCACCGTATATCATGCGGGGAGTGGCACAGTGCAGGGCACCAAGTAATCGGAAGCCGAAGAGGGATACGAAGAAGGGGGATATGGACGGAAAAAAAACAAAAACGAATGAAACATCTTGGATGGTGTGTCTCGTTCAGTCTTGTTGTTGGTAGCGATCTTCTTCTGCTTCTCTTCCTTCATTGGTCGTTTATCTTTGGCAACCACCTTCCTTGTCCGAGTCAGACTGCAGGCCACACTACTCAGTTTTATTATTTTTATTATTTCCTTTTCCGTGGTTGTTCTTCATCTGCGTGTGAAGGAAACACAGGAAGTCCCAGAACGAAAGAAGGGGGGGAAAAAAAAGAGAGGGATATAGATATAAACAAGAAAAGGAAAAAGAAGTTTTTGTGGAAAAGAGGAGCGTTCTCTCTCACGGTGCGTGTGTGTGCGGTTCTTTGGCGCCCTTCCCTGTGCACAGCTCAGCAGGATGCAAAAGGGGTCGAGTCGTGGGAGCCACAGAATAGTGGCGCAGTCCTTATCAAATGATTCAGCGGAACGGAACAGTGCAAGTATCTCCCGCACCTCACGGGCGCGCCGCGCCAAAAAAGGGTCGATTCACCGCCCCAACGAACTTTGGCAGGAGGTTGAAGCGGCCATTCACGTTCTTGACAATGGCATTGATCGAACCCCGTTGCCGCTGCAGCAGCGGGCAAGCACCAAGGGCCTTCCCCGTGACAGCCATCAAGGCAGTACTTCCATCAGTCTGGTGGTTCCGGTGGAGAGCAGTTCAGTGTTTCACTCCTCATTGATGAACAGTAGTTCGATGGACGCGTTGAATATTGCGTCGAATATGAGTCCGTACAGCCCATCACGTACAGGTGCCTTAACGGCGTCGACTTCGCTGACAAGCGTCTCGGTTGACCGCCGTCCTTCTTTTTTATCTTCAGGCTCCATCTCTGTTTCATGTCCGGTAACGCAGCAGCAAGTAGGTTCCTTTCAAATGGAGGTGGGACCCATCGATACTTTTCAGAGACGCGCCTTTACACGCGAAGAAATACACAAGTGGCTTGAGGAGAAAACAACTATTGTCCTCTGCGAGACCCCTACCATTATGCTGTACACACACCAAGATGAAATAGTGCCCAATGAGCAGAGGGAGGTACTCGAGCAGGTGCAGAAACGCAACGCGGCGTATGCGGAGTTAGTGGAGGCAAAGCGCGTGGATGAGGGCATACGATTTCAGGAGAAAGGCTCCTGGACATTTCTGGCACCGAAGAAGTCGATTCACTGCTCCATTTGTCCCCCAAAGAAGAAGAATGCGGGTGCATTGCAGGTGACGCCATGGATGTTGCGTGATCAGTTTGCCGCACTCACAGCGGATGGCGCAGACGAGATAGAGAACGAGGAGGATAACGATGACGAAGACGGTGAATTGGCAGAGGCTTCTGAGGAGCCCGAAAAAGAAGCCTCTTCTGAGGCGACCGTGGCACAGAGCGGTCGCTCTGGCACTCGGTCTGCGGTGTCGTGGATGCTTGCAGATTCACTGCTCTCCACGCTACGCATCATGGAGCGAGTTGTTGTGCAAAACGCGATGGAGGAGGTTCAGTTGTCGTATCGAGGCATCATGATGGACCCAGCGGCACGCCGTGTGCCACGACCTCCAGAGAAGGAAGAGAATAGCAGGACTGACGATCATGAGATGGCTATCACAACCGAGGTGCAAGACGCACATGAGACGATTGCAACAGTGACCGCCGCGTCTGCTGTGAAGGCGGAAGTTCCGCCGTTGAAGATGTCAGAGGATATCAAGGCTTTGTGGACCTTTAGATCCCCACTTACAGCGGACCGTGCTGTTACTTGTATGGCGTGGAACTGCAAGGAATCCGATATTCTCGCCGTTGGCTACAGCGCAGCGCATGCAAAGGAGGGACAAAATGTGGCACCTGGCACCATATTGCGAGGTGGCATTGTCTGCTGTTGGTCTTTAAAGAATCCCCTCGCACCAGAGCGTGTCATTCAGCTCAGCACAGAGGCGGGCGTGTCGGCGGCGGCGTTCTCGTATGAACACCCAAGTCTTCTCGCCGTCGGTAACACGGAAGGCGGTATTGTCATTTACGACATTCAAAAAGACACAAATACACCTGCCATCAAGACGACGTCGACTAGCGGGCAGCACACTGGGGCGGTGTGGGAGCTGAAGTGGGTGGCACGTGGTAAAGAGCGTGGAGAATTTCTCATGTCCATCTCCGGTGACGGACGCGTGGTGCAATGGGCGGTTGGAAAAGCACTTGAACGTATGGCACCAGATCTCATGACACTGAAGCGGCAACATGGCGCCGTCTGTGAATCCGCCTTTGCAGACGACGCCAGTACTGAGGGTAAGAGCGACGGTAATGGGCATCAGCGACGCAAGATGGATGCACTTTTTTCGCGGCAGTGCGGTGGCATGTGCCTGGACGTGTCCCCGGCGGATGGCACGGTGTACGTCGTTGGTACTGAGGACGGCTCGATTCATCAGTGCAACAAGAGCCAGACGGAGACCTACGAGTTGGACTACGCGGCGCACTCGGAGCTCGTCTACCGTGTGCGATGGTCACCGTACAGTGACGCATTTTTTCTCACTTGCTCCGCGGACTGGAGCTCGCGACTATACCGTTTTGGGCAGTCCGCCCAACTCCTGACATTTGATAGCCCGAATCAAAACGCCGTGCAGGACGTTGTGTGGTCCTACACAAATTCCACCACCTTCGCCACCGTGACGGCGCAGGGAAACGTGGAGATATGGTCCGTCACAGACTCTATTCACCCCCGCTCCACCGCACAGTTTCTCGATCAGCGTCGACTCACAAACGTTCTCTTTGCGGAGCAGGAAGCGGCTGTGCTGGTGGTCGGCGACGAAAAGGGCGACGTGACGGTGTTCCGCCTTCTTGCGCTGTGCTACAGCAGCATGAACATGACGGCCGACGAGCAGGAGCAACAGCTTGAGGAGGCCATCCGCAAGGCGATTTCGTAACTTCCCGTCGGGAATAACGAAGAAGGGGAGGCTAAAAACAGCAAAGAGAGAAAAGCGAAGGAGACGAGGCTGGGGGTGACGAGGGTGTGTGGCGCTTAAGGGGGAGTCCTTCGTTTTATTCTCCAACCCGGCTGGCCCCGCCCTTTGCAAATGTAAATGATAGAGAGAGAAGGGGAGGGAACAACACAAGCACGCAAGCGGTATTTCTGCGTGAATGAATGAGCCAGAAACGGAAAGCGAGCGCGCCCTTCACAGCATGCTCCGCATGCATCTATGCCTGGTGAATGTCTGCAATATAACACTATGAACGTGTGGTGTGTGTTTGTTTTTTTTGTGTTCGGCTGTCATTGATTTATTTTTCAAGGTGTGATTTGTGCGTTCTTACTTCTTTTCAGTTGTTGTTTGTTTGTTTTTTTGTGGTGCATCCCTTGTGAAGGGTTACAACTCCGTTGGTTGTGCCTTTTCTGCTTGCGGGTGTGGGGGCATCATTGTGAGGAAAGGAAATTTGTATTTGCCCCGTTAAGAGGAGTCAAGGAAGCCACGGTGGAGAGGTGCGGAGGGAGAGGAAACCAAACAAAACAAAAACAAGGCACGTCTAGCCGTCTGCAAGACGGTGACTTTTGAAAACAGCAAAAAATAAGACCAGGCGGAGCTATCTTCTGCAAGGGTTCCTCCGGCGCGCAGGCATGTCGACAAGACCCGAGCAAGTTGAGGAGAAACAACCACCGTCTCCCCAGCAGTGGCAGAAGCAGCAGGAGGGGAATGAGGCGGCGGTAGGAGAAGCGTCCGGTCGTGGTACGGGTGGTGATGTTGTTGTGGAGGAGAACTTTAGTGCGCCTCTGCCGCAGGAACAGCAGGATGTGGGACAGGTGGAGCAAGGGCAACCGCAGGATGCATCACAAGAGCAAGAGGAACAAGTGGTTCATAGAGCAGCAGCAGAAGAAGAAGAAGCAAGGGACCTGCCGGGAGTTGTAGAAATTGAAGACAACAATGTGACAGAAGTGGGATTGACAGTGGGCGCCCAGGCCTTGCTGCCAGCCCATGTGTGGAGTGGCAGCGCAAAGGAAGCGGACGACGACACTCAGAGCGCTGCCACCGATCACCAGTTACAATTAAACAACACTCTACCACCGTTAGCCCCCGTGGCAGTGGCTGAGAAAGGAGAAGTATATCCGCTTAAAACACGGGGTGGGGTGGACCAAAAGTCCAGTGTAGGGCACCGTGAAGGCCCAGCGGGACGAAAGTATTATTCGTCTGGTAATTCTGCGCCACGCGGTATTGTGGCTGGTATGACACCCGGGGAAGAGTACATGATGTTCCGGGCGCGCAATGGCGTTTCCTCCAACTACAAAGGACCCGTCTTTGCTGTGGAGGACATCCATGTAATGTGCGCAGGGTGTGGTGCCCCTGTAGATCCTATTACGCGTGTTCCGGCTGGAAAACTGTTTTTTCATCCGCAGTGTATCAGTTGCAAGTTGTGTGGTCACGTCAATATTGCGGATGCCTACTTTCAGGCCACGAGTAACGGTGCCGTCTGCTCTGAATGTGCCTCAAAGGGCCTTGCAAAGTGGGTGCTGCGAGAAGGTGCTGCGGCGCGTGGGATTGTCCCAGGCGCCGTCACCGGCAGCCTTGGCGAAGCCGTTAAACTCTACGACCTCAAGCACAAATTGCACCCGACTAATCACTCCACTGTAGCGGGAGCTGTTCCGCCCACACTCGTGGTGGGATGTACTACTGACCGTCGCAGCCAAACCCAGAAGGCCTTCTCGCTGATTCAACGTCAACAGTACTACACACAGAATGACAACAACATCATTTGCCTGCCGCCGGCGTCGCCGAAGGGGCGCTCGCGGACATCGAGCATGAGCCGGCGGCAGGGAAGGAGAGAGGACATGCCAAAGCTGATGTAAGCCTTGAATGCAAAGAAAAAAAAACACATAAAAAAGAATATATATGGGGAGGATATGTTTTGCTTCTCGCACATGCCAGAGGGAAGATGGATTTGAAGAGAAACAAGCAAAGAAAAACAGTGATGGCAGCGGCAGGAAATACACCAAAGTTTGGAACAATAAGAAAAAAAAAATAGTCAACACGTCTTACCGAGGATATGGAGAGTGTGCCACTCATGTGAAGATAAAAGGTATGCAGGGGACTTTACACGTTGGTACTACCATGTCCCTACGACTCCTTTTTTTTACCTTCTTTTTTCTTTGTCGCCGCATCACTTCTCTGGGGGCTAGTGCGTATTTGAATATTCTTGATTTTTTTTTGTTTTGTTCTTCTCCCTGTGGGCCCTTTTCAAGGGCGTCTCTGCACAAGATGTATTTTTGCGGAGGTGCGAGACATTTTTATGTGCTTGAGTGTGGAAAAGTTGGGCTGTTTATTTTTAAAAAGCCCGTTCCGTTTCCCGTTTCGTGTGTTGTTGTTGTTTTTACTAGTCCTCGGTACAGATGTTGCTGTTTTTTTTTTCTTGGAGGAGTAATCCATTCTCTCTCTCTCTCTCTGTGTGTGTGTGTGTGGGTGTATTGTTATTGTTTTTTTTCTTTTGCCCCGTGCATCTTTGCTTGCGTATGAGGAAAGGGGGTGGATGGGAAACGGTGGTTCATTGTAATCTTATGTTTATACATATAGATAGATATATTTCTTGTCACCACTAGTACGAACGAGTACATTTTACTTTGCTCAGCTGCTTTTGTTGTGGTTTTGCTGCGCACATGAGTGGGACGAAGTATGACCGGCAGCTGCGGTTGTGGAGCCACGCTGGCCAGCGTTCACTGGCGGAGGCACATGTTGTGGTCTTGGGTGCCACGGCGGCGGCGGTAGAGATGCTGAAGAGCGTGGTTCTGGCGGGGATTGGCTTCTGCACCATAGTGGACGACGCCCGCGTTGATGAGGATGCGGTGGGCAACAACTTCTTTGTCTCAGTCGAGGACTACAACGCATGCCGCCCCCTCGCAGAGGCGTTGCTGCGGCACCTTTGTGTATTAAATCCGCAGGCAAACGGCGTGGCATGCGTGGAGTCATGTGTCGCGTGGGTAGAGGATTTTGTATCGGCTGGCAGGCAATCCTGTGTGACGGCAGGCGTCGAGAAACAGCGACCATATCCGTCCCTCATTGTAGTGACACCACGATTACCAGCCGTGTCTCTTCGTCGTCTTTCAGCCTGGTCGAAGGGTCAATGTGGTCCACCACTCATGTACGTTCAAGCGGTAGGACTCATGGGTCTCATCCACGTGCAGGAGGGAGAGCGGCTTATTATCCATGCCGAGCCCAAACCAGAAACCTGTGTGACCGATCTGCGCATTTTTAACCCTTTTCCTGAGCTGAAGGTGTGGTTTGACGCACATGACCCAGAGGATGGCACACTCTTTCGTGAGAATATTGAGCTGCATAGTCATATTCCATGGATCGCCATCCTCTATCATGCGCTTCAGCGCGTTCGACGGGAGCGTGGCGCACCAGAGTTTGTGCCGCACTCCAAGGCAGATTATGACGCCATGCGGAAGGCCGTTGAGGCACTTATTCGTCGGCCCACCCCGCCGCAGGAAGGATTTATGGAGGCCATGGAAAAGTGTCGTGTGCCTCTCAACCGCTCATCGTTGTTGCCGAGCAATGTGCACAAAATCTTGCGTGACCCTCGCACAGACGCCCCATGTCGAGCTGGACCATCGTGCAATGGTCATGGGCCACTTCACTGGCTGGTGCTGCATGGGATTAAACGATTTATGCGAGAACACGATGGTGTACCGCCCTTTTGCGGGTACGTGCCGGACTTTGCGACGACGACGCAGTGGTACGGTGAGCTGCGTGCTATCTATGATCAAAAGATGAGAGACGATTGCGCAGAAGTGTGTGGTTACGCGATGGAAGCACTTGCTGGCTGCAGTAATGACAGTAATGCGTCCGTAGTAGACGCAGACGAAGTTGCAGAATTAACACAAGCATTGGTTCAAAATTTATGGACGTTACAGCTGGTGCGGTTTGGCCCTGACCTCGATGAAATAGCAACGGACGCACCCCTGCGATGGCAGCGCGTCAGTCATTACTTTGACGCATGCGCTACGGAGACGGAGCGGTTCACAGCGGGGCTGTATATCGCACTATTAGCTGCGCACAAGTTTGAAGAGCAGGTTGGACGGCCACCGGGGCACATTCCTAAGCACAGCGTGGAGGCAGAGGCAACGTGGGTAGATGACTCCAAGGCGTTGTTACATATCATTGAGAAGGCATGGCGGGGTTTTTGCTGCGGCATGGATCTCACCGCAGAGGCGTGTATGGAGGTGGCCCGGTTTGGAGCGGGGGAACCGGCTGCTACGGCGTGCATCGTCGGTGCGGCGGCTGCGCAGGAGTGCATCAAGCTTGTGCAACATCGTCGTGTCCCCATCCAGCGGCCGTTGATCTTTGACGGCTACCGCTGCTGCTTTTGGCTTGCGCCAGCGCGGGAAGAAGTTGAGGAGGAGACGCTCACATGACGTTTGGAGCAGCGGGCGGCCACATGGTTTCCCCGCACAGTGGCGGCCATGGAGAATTTCCCCTCCACCGAAGTCAAAGTGGAAAAGAAAAAGGATTGGAGAGACGTGTTAACCTTTTTTTTGTTTTTGTTTTTAACTCTTTTTTTTTTTTTTTGGGTTTTCCCATTTGATTTATTTTTTCAACTATGCGGATATACACTACACCAAAGTACAATCCAACAGGTGGACTGCTCTTGGGACCGGGGAGTGGATAAAGAGAAGGGGCACAACATGTCGCATCGAGCGCCGCGTCCGCTTCGGCTGTTGCAGTCCTCTTGGAGCCTTGGGTTCGAGCGTGGAAAAGGCTGCACGGCACCAACTATTGCAGTGTATAAACCCTCTGGCCTTCCGTACTTTGCCGCATCACAGGTGGCTGCGTGCAGCGGCGGAAGAGAGTTATTTTCTGCCTCACCAGGCAACATGCCGGCAGTGGAGCCAACTGATGTCAGTGATTCTCTGCTCAGTAGGATGACAGACCTGCTGCCACCTGGAAGCGGCACGCCTCGTGTGGTTCTTCCACTCATTCACCCGGCGTTATCGCGATATGCCACGGCATCGCAGGTGAATGCGTTGACGGCGCAACGGAAGGGAACATCACTTGTTGCCTGCTCACCGCATGAATTTATGTTTCTTCGCAACTGTCACCGACTGCATCTTGTACGTTCTGTCTATCGTGTGCTGTGTCGTCTTCCTTCCTGTGTCTCTATTCGAGTGCGACAGGCCCTATGTGAAAGAAATGCGGCCGAACGAACCACAAGGAATGCCTTTAAGAATCCTTACGTTCAACAGTTTTTGCGGCGCTCCGGAAGCACCTCGGGTGAGTCCGGTAACATTTTTCTTGGTACGGACGGGAGTGGGAGTTTGCCTCGGTGTGCCTATCCGCATCCATTGCTACAAGGGGGATTTATTAACGTTAAGGAGCGGTGTTTGTTGCCCCATGGCACCGTTTCTGGATATCTCAGTGCTTATCAAATTCCACGTGATGTGCATGCGATTGTGAAGAAGCAGCAGCGACTTAAGGCACTTTTTCTGCCACCCATCGCAACGTCAACTTTGTCCCTTGCGTCTACATTACCGCAGGCAATGGATGTCGTAGCTGGGGACAGTGGCGCAGCAGGGTGTGACATATGCCGAAGGAAAATGACCGGCCAGGATGAGGCCTCGCCGCACCCCTGGATTGGGCCTGAGTGCCAATTGCGGATTGCGCTTGATGTGAGGGTTGCGCCAGAGAAGGTGGTGGCGAGTGAGATGGAGGATGCTGCGCAGGACATGGACCACGCCTGTTTCTCGCACCTGGACAAGAAGGGAGGCACACTGTCACCTCAACAGCTGCGGGGGAAACGTGGCGCTTGTCGTTTAGTGGGGAAACCGTTCAAGTTTGATTTTCGGTTAGTCACGCTCAACAATGCCTGCGACCTTGCGTTGTATGAGGTCGGCACCAACAATGCCTCCGATGAGGAGGTTAAGGCTGCCTTTGCGGCTGCCAACTTCACAGTCGTCAATGATTTTGTGAATGATGTTACGCTTGCAGAGGCCATGCAGGAGGTTGCAGGGGTGCTCCACACGCTGCCGCAGATACAACTTGCGGACTTGCCAATGATCGCTCAACACGTGCTGCGCGAGGGATCTCCCTTGGAGTTGGTTGCCGAACCACTCCTCGCCACCTCCACGGCATCCCCTGTGGAAGTTTCTACCGAGTCGCAGGCTGATGGGTTAAAGCAGCTAGAGCAGGTGTCGGAGCTCACAGGTGTGCATGGCCGTCGCTATCGTCTTCTCTTAGAGGCTCTGAGAAACCTAGAAGATGAGAAGACATTCTGTCGTGTCGCCCAGTTAGCGTTGGGTGGTGGCCTGGAATGTACCGCGCTGCACTTTCCCGATCCAAGGCAGGACGCCAACCTGAATGCCGTCCAACATCTTCTTTTGCGAATGGAAGAGGGAGAGGCGACAGAGGCGTACTGTAAAAATGTTGCGGAGCGTATGTCGTTTGTAAGCCGTGGGACCACCGTGGACTGTGAGACATACGAGACCCTGATTCACGATGACGTCGTGCGATGTCTTCCATCGCAGCGTGACGTGACGGTGGCGTGGGGTGCTGGACATCCCACCGTTGTGCGCAGCGAGGAGTGTGGGGAAGTGGGGTGTGCGTATTGTGGGGAACGTGGCCACGTTTGGAGCGCATGCCCCGCGGGTGTTCCGTTACTACCAAGTCAGACAGGCTCTGTTGTTGAAGATGACAAGAAGGGTGGAACGTGCGTCGTGGGTGACACCTTCCTGATGTCCCGAGACGAGTCCGACGTGGCAGGAAAGGCCTTGGACAACATGCTCCTGGCTACTGTCGACGACGTGGAATTTGCCCTTGAGGATGCCACGAGGCGGCAGGGTAATGCAAATGTTATTTCAATCCCAAACGTTGCCCCAACGCAGACGTTTAACCCGCATGCATGGCGTCGTCACCACCAACGGCCAGCTTTGCACCAACGCCGTTTGCGATGTGCATACTGCAGCGGACAGCATCACATTACACGGTGTCCGCGGCTCTCCGGTGCCGAGACGGGTGCTCACCCGGGGGGCACGTTAGACACGGAACAGCTTCGTATGAATGCAGAGAAACTGTTCTGTATTAAATGTGGGGAATTTGGCCACTTGTATGATCAATGTCCGGCCGTGCCGCGGGGCCTTCACACGGCAACGCATTGCCCCATATGTCTACAACCTCACCGTAATATACAACATGAGCCTTTGCACTGCCCACGTCGCGTCACGCCCCCACAGGACTACCTCGCAAGTGGCGTTCCCGCAGGCCTCGTGCGAAGTGACAAGGGGAGGAGGAAGCCAGCCCATCACGGGGGTGATGTCCTCCTTGCGGATTCCTTTTTATCACATATCTAGCGTGCAGTAATGCAGGATGAAAGAGAAGGAGTAAAGCAACCTGTTTCCTTTCTTTTTGTTTGTTCGTTCGTTTGGTTTGCGTCGAACGGGGTGGGAGCTTCTCTCCCGCTTCCTCTCACGCACACACACACACACGCATGCACTCTCTTTCTTTATTTCTCTTTATTACTCAGTGAATGCCGTATCCACACGTATACGCAGGGCAAAGGTGTCTGCTAACAGTTTGAGGCTGCTTATTTCGTCCCTTTTGGTATTACTGGTTTTCTGCGGCTGCCGCTTTTGTTTGTTTTCGCCAAGTAAGGGAGGTACAAGGGGAATCGGGGGAAGTCAAAGGCGGCAAACAAAAGCAAAGAAGAAAGTAAAAGAGTGGGGCTAGGCGAGGTGGTGGCAGTGGCTGGCGCTGCGTGAGGTCATTACGAGGCGAGATTTGCACTACACAAACAAGTCTTGTGGCGGAATGTGGAACCACTGGAGTGACGTTACGAAGAAAATTAGGGACATCGCCGCCGAGATTACCCAGCCCATCAGCGAGGAATCGGAGAGCGCTCAGGATGAGGGTCGACTATTAGGCAGAGGGACATTTGGAACGTGTGAGGTGCCACATGCGGCGGCGCGCACTCCGCGGTTCCCACCAGCAAATAGTGACTCGTTTCAAAAACAGGGTGGCAATTCATTGACGTCACGACCACCGGGGTCCGCTGCTCCACCAGTTCGTCGTGCGGCTCCATCGGATGTTAGCATGTCGCCACCGTCACGTCTTGGCACCTCCACTACACATGATAGCAGCAGCGAGCGGAATCACCCCTCCGTGAATTCGGCTGCAGAAAAAGCGTTACAAACCCCCTATGAGGAAGGCGACACGGCACCTGTGCCAGCATCCCAGTCACCAGCGGGAACACGGAATGGAAGTGAGGTGCATCGTAGCATGGAGGAGGGTATGGCGGAATTGGAGCTGCAGGTGCAGCGCCTCTCCGAGGAGAAAAGGCACATCGAGCAACAGGTCCTTGCATACCAGGAGGAGGTGACGGAGGCGCACAGGAAAACGGTTGGGTACTATGAAAACAAAATGGCGACGCTGCAACAAAGCATCAATTTGGAGAAGGTACTAAAGGAGGAACTTGCAGAACTGCTCTCACAACGTGAAAAGGAGTGTAACGAGCTTCGGGGTGATGTTCAGGCACTGCAAGAACAGGTGGAGAAACTCACTCAGGAGGCTGCCATGATGAAGGTGGCGCATGATGAGGTAAAGCAAAAGTTAGCTTGTAGGGAAGAGGAGTGTTTGAGCGCAAGGCAACAATTCGAATCATTGCAGGAAATGCATGATGCTTTGCTGGAGCGGCTGGAGCGTGCAAATAAGGATAAACCTCCCATTGCTTTCGTTTCTACTGCTCACTCGGCCCCACATATCAGCCATGATATTACCTCGGCAATGGCTGCTGGTGATATTACAGTGGTGGAACTTCGTCAACGGATTGAGGCAATGGAGGAGGAAAAACTTATTATGGTGCGTGAGAAGGAGCAACTGGCAGTGTTGCTGCAGGAAGAACGGCGCAACCACCGCGCGACGGTGCAGGAAACGGATCAAATATTGTCCCACGACCGGGAGCAGGCGCAGAGGCTAACAGAGCTCATTAATCAGCTTGAGAACAATCGACAGCAGCAGCGAGAGAATGATATGACGGCGGGAGAAGAGCGGCAGTGGCAAGGGTTGTCGCGGCATGAGGAAGTGAAGGACGAACCTGTGACTAAAACGGAAGCGTCCGCCGCGACGGGCAACGAATCCTGGGAAACAGTGATCTCTTCGTTAAGGGAAGAAGTAGCGGCGTTGAAGTTGCAGTTGGATGCAGCCAAACAGGAGGGTGAAGAGGCCGCGCGGCGCGTGGAAGTGGCGCTTGACGAAAAACATGCGCAGGCACTGACATTGCTTGGGGCCCAAGAGGAGCGAAACGCGTACGGCGTGGTAGAGGAACTTCAACAGGAGCTGAAAGCCGCCCAGCAGCAAGCATGTGATGCGGACAGACAACGTGAGAGGCTGCAGGAGGAGGTGCAGCAGCTTCACAATCGCCTCAAGGAGGCTCAGTCCCACGCGGAAGCACTCTCTGGTAAGTTGACCACAGCGGAGGCACGTGCGGAGGCTCTGCAGTCTAGTCTACAAGAGGCGCGACGTGCGACGGAGGGGCATGAGGCCTCACTTGTCAGTGCCCTCACCACTCGCAAGAAGGAACTCGAGGTATCATCTGCACGAACGGCGGAGCTCATGCAGCAGCTGGAGCATACAATTACGGATTGCCTTGTGCGTGCAGGCACGGATTTGCCATCGCACCGCGACGGCACCTGGGCTTCGTTCTCGGACAAGGTGACGCTTCTTGCAAGTGAGTTTAATCACATTTTTTGTTCAAATCAAAAGGCGGCGCAGCTGCAGAAAGAGTGGGAACGAACATATGAGCAGGCGCGGGGAGTGAATGCGACACTCTCACAGCAGGTGAGCGAGGCCTGGAAAAACATTGGAAACCTACGTGAGGATCTTTCCCTGCGGGAACAGTCTATTGCAAAACTGAAACAGCAGGTTCAGGCGGAGTCGCAGCAACACCTTGATGTACAGCATACGCTTGTGGGCGTCACAAATGAACTACAGGTTCTTAAGGAAGAAAAAAAGGCCTGGGAAGCACGCATTGGTGTCTCTAGTTCTGGAGAAGCAGCTCACCAGGAACAGCTGGCGCAGCTGGCTGCGGATGTTGAAACACTGCGAAGAACCTTGCAGGATAGGGATGAAGAGTTGTCGCATGCGCAACGTAGTTTAGAGACGCTTCAGCAAGTACTTGACACCTTCACCAAGAACAAGACGCGTGACGTGGAAGAGCGGACAGCTGACATGCAAATTGAGATTGATCAGCTTCGGACACAAGTGCTAGAGGCTGAGGAGCGACAACACCACCATCAGGAGGATATTGATGCAATTATTGCAACCCATCGGCGAGAGGTAGCGGCAAAGAATTTGGAAATTACTTCTCTTCATCGCAAACACGCGGAACTTCGAAAGGCGCTAGATGAAACGGCACGACAGTTAAGTGGGATGACGATGATAGACAAACGCGTCATTAGTCACCTCACAGTGAATTTTATCCATGCATTTGTAGGTCACCGGCGTGAGGCGGATGAAATGCTCAAGGTTTTAGGTGGTCTGCTGAACTGGGATGAGGAGATGCAGGAAAAGGCGGGTCTCCTACCAGGTCCCAGTAATCCAAAGCCCGGCCATCAAGGAAAACGTGGTGGACTCATTGGAGGCTTGGTAAAATCTGTGTGGGGAGGTTCTGGCCGCACAACAGCAAAGGGAACTGGCACCAGCGGCACGTCGCCGAGCATCGCAGAGTTATGGGTGGAGTTTTTGATGCGGGAAAGCGAGGCGGAGACAACTCAGGCAGAGGTGGTGCCAGTGGATTCTTCCGCTTCACAAACGGAGGAAGTGGTAGTTGTGGAAGGGAAACAGCAGTTGCGGTAAGAAACGTAGGGATGATTATGGAGCCCTCTGTACAACTTAAGCAGCATTTGGGGCTTTGGTAGATGCTGTCTTTTGCTAACGTCATTGTTGTTGTTTTGCATCCACGCCGACGTTTTACCCCCCTCCCTTTTTGCAGCAAATAGTGTGTGGGACAGACGCGGCTTGTGGATGGATTTGCCTCGTCATTTCTGTTTGTGGGTGGTTGTTTTCCCTCTTTTTTTTCTTTCGCTTTCCACTATTATTATTATTATTTTTCCTTTTCCCTGACACGGTGTTGTGGTGCGTACAGGCAGTGCAGCAGAGGAAACCGTTGCAAACGTTTTGCTGGATCTCTGGTCTCACAGGTTGTACATACGTCTGTGTGCACGCAACTTGCTACATATACATATTTCAGAGTAGGACTAAGGGGAAGAAAAAGAAACAAAGACGTAAGCACGTTAAGCTCTGAGGAGAAGGCAGTTGATCCAATAATTTTTACGGTGTTTGTGATGAACGAGGGTGGAAGGGCCGGTAGGGAAATGACCAACTGCGTGGAGTGGAGTATAGACGAGTACGATGCCAAGGGGGGGGTTACATCCACCACCATTCGCATCGAGACATGTGGCTCCGAAGACGGCAGTAGCAGGCGTAGCAGTAGGAAGAGTTCCAGCACAGTGCGGCGGCGGAGGAGGAAAAAACGACAGCAGCAGTTGTGGCTTACAGGAGAAGAGGAGGATTTCTCTTCACAAACGTCGCATGCCTTAAGGCATGTGTCATTTGGCGGGAAAGCACGCTGCAGTGTGAAGGCGCCCTTCTCGTCTGGTGCTGCTGGGGCACCGTACAACAAGAAGTTGCGCAAGAAGAACATGCAGCAACATCAGCATCGCCTCTTGTTTGGCAGTGAAACAGCAACAAACGTTGGGGTAGAGACCAGTTCGTCTTCCTTTTTTATCTCCTCCACTCACCGTGCCGTAGCAGAGGCGACAACGCCGTGGAATAACAACATCTCAGGACCGTGTGCAGGGCGTTACCATTTTTTTGGCCAAGGTGGCCTGTTGACGAATGGTTCTTACGCCGCACCGCGGGGCAAACGTGAAGCGGATGAGGATGAGGATGATGGGCTGCTTTCCCGCAATTCGGGACGGCGAGTTCGTGCAAAGATTGGAGGTAGCAGTTGTTTGTTGGCGCCCCTCCGTTCTCCTTCAGTGTTGCCGCCGCCACAACTTTTGCCGGCCAGCAGAGCTGAGGTTAACAGTGACATACTGGAACGATGCTTTTTAGAAACACGGCTTGAGGACGATGACGACTTTTTGTTGTTGTGAGTTGGCATATGCATCTGCCACAACACACTTACTTGCTCTTCTGTACCCCTTGCGGGGTGACAATGAGAGGGACTCGTGTGCACCCACGTACTGCTTCCTGTGCAGCGACTGACTTTTCTCTGCCTCCTTTTGTATACACGTATATCTTATATATATATATGCCTACATGTAGGGGTGTTATTATTATTATTATGGATCTATCTACATACATGCATATGTACGTTTTTCACTGCAGTGGTGTGGGGTGCACCGTCAAGTAAACGAATAGAGTGTAGAGATAATTCAAATAAACATCTAAGGAATTTGAAGAAACGAGGAAACGGAGACTAAGGCAAGCGAGGAATTAGCTTATGGTGAAAACAATTTGAAAATGTTTTGGGTTCTCTGTGTATGTGCCCCTTGCCTTCCTTGTTTGCTCCTTATTCACTGTGTGGCGGGGAACGCATGGGTGGGTGAATGAGATTTGCATGCTTTTTTTCTCTGAGTGTTTTCTCCACAACCCACCGTATTTCTTCTGCTGGCCCACAAGCATGTGCCACACGCAGGGCACATAAGAAGTGGGGCGAAGACAGAAAAAAGAGAGAGAAAAAGAGGCGTAGTAAACTAATACAAGGATGAACATCAACACCATGCAGGTGCGGAAGGAAACAATCTTGGGCCTCAGTTACTACGAGATCTTCTCCCTTGACCCCTCTGCAAGCGATGTGGACTTCAACTCCGTCCATCGCGCATACCGTCGCTTTGCCCTCTTGTTTCATCCTGACAAGGATCCTTCACCAGCCGCGCGGCTGGCGTTTGAGCGGGTGAAACTTGCCGCAGAGACGCTTACGGATCCGCTTAAGCGTCGCGAGTACGATGAGATGATGCAAAAGTCGCATCGCCATGCAGGCCACAGCCCCTGCCTCTGCGTGGCAGCAACAACAGCGGGAAGAAATGGAAGAGGAAGCTCGTGTGGCTGACATGATCCTTCGGCAGAAGGAGGCAGCCACGGCGGCGAAGGTGGCGGAGACACGTGAGGAGGAGATGGAGAAGGAGGCGGCGGCAAAGCAGATGCTGCATGAGTTGACAAATGTGCTGACAACACCGTTTAAGAGGATGGAGGCGGAGCTGGTGCACGAATGGGACATTGACGAGGATTTGCTGCGGATGAAGGAGAAGGAGGTGGAGTCGCTCCTGCAGAAACTCCGCGGGTACAATGAAGGCTGTGGCCAGCAGGTGCGGTCAACGACTGCGTACGCGACCGTTGGCAAGCGTGGAAGAGGTGAATAAACAGTCATCACTGCGGTGGGAGACGCAGCATTGGATAAATCGGAGTTGCGTTTTTGTTTGGTTTGTTTTGCTTCTTGGTTTGCGTTGCGTGGTTTCTGTTTACACGCAACGCCACTACACGCCCTGCTGCAGTTTCCTCACCTGCGCTTCCTTTGTTTCAGATGGGGCGTGGGTGGGGCGGCGCAGGGACTTCATGCACCGATGGGTCGCACGTGAAGAGGGTGAGAAGCGCACCAACCGCCACCTTGTGCTTTAAAACAAACACGCAAGGAAAAGTCTTGTGGCAGTCTGCCAGGTAATTAAAAACAACAACAACTTGCTTGTTGTCTTTCTGGAGGCCTATTCATTTACTTCTCCTTCCTTGGAGTATGACGCGCCAAAGTGGTTTCTTCTTTTTGCCTTTTTTTCCCCCCCGTTGAGAGGGTGGGGGATTTTTTATCCCTTTACAGTAGAGAGAAGACGGCACGAGATGCTAGGGAATCGCAGCTTGACGGAGGAGCAGACTCTTATCCGTCGGCACTTCATCGACTTCTTTGAGTCGGAGCGGTACGAGGAAAAGTACAATGAACGCGTTCATGCAATGATGTCCGCCGCGAAGTGCAGACTGCTGCTTGACATGGGCGACCTGCTTGACTTTGTCCCTGTGCCTGCAGGGTTTGACAGCAATAGCGCAACGGCAGGAACCGCGTCTGTATCGCTTGGTGTTGGCATCATTCGTGAGCCCGGAAAGTTTGTTCCATTGCTTGAACTCGCCCTCCACGACGTCGTGCTGCGACAGCAGCCGGAGTATCTGAAGGTGGACTACCGCTCTCGTGCGGTGCATGTTGGGTTTGAGGGGCCTGTGGGAACTGTACTCTCGCCACGGGAATTGTACGCCAGACATCTGAACACCATGGTGGCACTTGAGGGCATCATCACGCGGCAGTCCTCCAACCGTCCACGCGTGCTGGAGTCGGTACACTACTGTCCTGAGACGAATAAATTTACGCGAAAGGAATTCCGTGATCAATTTACACCCATGATTGATAGCACACACCTCCCGACGGTGAATGTCATGCCAAAGACTGACATGGAGGGTCATGCACTCCGTACTGAGCTGGGGCTGTCAACTTTTATAGACTCACAGTGCGCCATTCTTCAAGAAGCCCCTGAGCGTGCGCCGACAGGCCAACTGCCGCGCACAGTTGAACTTCGTTTTGATGATGATTTGGTGGATGTTGTAAAACCCGGTGATCGTGTGATGCTGGTGGGGGTGTATATGGCATATACTACGGCTGACAGCAAGAGTTTCCAGTCTATTGTGTTGGTAAACCATGTGGTGTCTGTGCAGGCGTTTACGATGTACCGCCGTGTGGTGGCGGTGGAGGAGAAGCTCTTGGCCTTTGCGCAAAAGTGTACACAAACTGGCGGACCTGCGGGGGTGCTGGGGGCCTTAAGCAAGGCTGTCGCACCCACCATCTACGGGATGACAAACGAAAAAAAAGCCGTTCTCCTTCTTATGGTGGGTGGCGTTGAGCGGCAGGCGCATGAATCACATGTGCGCGGTGACATCAATGTGCTTCTCGTGGGTGAACCCTCCACAGCAAAGTCGCAGCTGCTTCGCTTTGTCCTCGGCGTTGCACCGTTAGCGCTGAACACAACAGGGAAAGGTTCTTCCGGGGTAGGATTAACGGCCGCTGTCTCCGTGGACTCGTACACGGGTGAGCGTTCTCTCTCAGCGGGGGCGATGGTGCTGGCGGACCGTGGTATTCTCTGCATTGACGAGTTTGATAAAATGAGTCCGCAGGACCGCGTTGCCATGCACGAGGCAATGGAGCAGCAGACCGTTACCATTGCCAAGGCAGGCATTCACGCCTCCCTCAATGCTCGTTGTAGCGTGCTGGCGGCGGCAAATCCCATCTATGGCTTTTACAGCGTGCATCATCGTCTTGCATTTAATGTGGGCTTGCCTGAGTCGCTGCTCTCACGTTTTGACCTTACATTTATTGTGCTGGACAAGCATTCCTCAGAGCACAACCGACGTATTGGGAGGCATATTCTTCGTAATCACATGACCGCCACACCGGTGGGCATCGATCAGAGTGTCACGAAGACGGTGGTGGATAGCGTAGATTCCGTTTGGGCACAGTCCGCAAAGAATGGGGGGAACGGCAGCGGTGGAATGGACCTTCGCATGACGACAACGAGTACGGGAGAACCCATCGTTGGCGTTGATTTTCTACGTGCTTACGTGCAGCTTTCGAAGGAAGGTCGGCCGTTGCTGACGGAGGCCTCGCAGCAGCTCGTTAGTCAGCACTACGTGCAACTGCGTGCAGAGCAGCAGGAGGGGTCTAAGGATGGCTTCTACGTGACGGCGCGTACCTTAGAGGCGATTGTTCGTCTGTCGACAGCGCACGCGAAATTACGGCTTTCTGCCACAGTGGATGAAGAGGATGTAAACAGTGCCATGGAACTTTTGCGTGACTCTGTTCATGCCGCATCTACAGCGTCTCTCCAGCGCAATGAGGACAACGAGGCAGCTGCCGTGGAAACCCGTTTTGGCCGGAAGCGTCCCGCGGCGATGCTCCAAGATGGTGAAAATGGCGGTGACAATACAAACATTGGGCGTAAGTTGCATGAAGGGAACGGTGCATCCTTACCGCCTGCAACTGTGGAAGGCGCAGTCAGGGATCAACTCGTTGAAAGGCGAGTCGCAGAGATTATTCGCGTTATACAGCGTGAGCAGCGCCCGTCTGTGCGACTGATAGAGCTGCAAGAAAAGATGGGCGACGGCACCTCTTTAGATCGTCTGCAGCAGATCGTCTCCCAACTGCAGGATGATAGCTTTGTATTTGAAGGCGCTGGAAGTGATGGATGGATTCAGTTTATCTAAATTGAAATGGAGGCAACCAGCAAGGGAAGAAAAAAATGGCAAAGAAGAAATAGATGAAAATCACACGTTTTATTCACCCACACATAGACAAATAGGCAACCCCCCAAGAACGCGCGAAACGAAGTAGAAAATATTGCAGGTGGTTTTGTGTGTGTTTGTGTATGGGTTTGTCTTCAGTTCATCTTGCCGGAGAGGAGGTGAAAACGGTGAAGATAATGGGAGGAAAAGAGAGGAGCCCCAATACACGCTCATATTGTCTCTTATTGCTTGCTTATCACCGTTTCCTTCGGCTTCCTCGTACGGCAGTGGCCCCAAGAAGGCTTTCCCTAATCCTTTTGTTTGGCAGAGAGTATACCCCCTTTCCCAGAGATGGACAAACAAGTACACAGACTTTCTGTCTCTTTCAGGTTATTGCTTTGTGTACGACTTTTTTTTTTTTTGCGGCTTTGCGTTTTTGTTTTGTTTTGTTTTTTCTGCGTTTCGAGTGGCACCCAACACCGTACCAACTGTGGAGGGGCACCACACGCCTTACTAGTCTTGCTGTGCACGTGTGTTTTAGGCTTTATGCTGCGTCGTGGAGTTCGCCACTGCATCCGCCAGGAACCCCAGGTGATTGGGGCGGCTGTGCCGTCGTTTCGCCACTTTCCATATAGGGCGCAGGATGTTCTGCACCTTTACCGCGACTTCTTGCGTCTCATTCACCAATATCCCCCACAGGAGAGGGCCGACCTCCTTTTTCGCTTACACAATGAGTTCCACCGTAGGCGGCACCTTGCAAGCCCGAAAATGATTACTGCCGCCATCAAGCGGGGTGAAGGCATTTTGAATGTGCAGCGTAGTATGCTGGAGTCCAGGACGCTGCGGGCTCGCGGTGTCTCGTCGCGAGAGCACGGCGCGCAAAACGTGGATGGCTTGTGGGATCAGCTGCAAATTCTCTCAGGACACGTGCTTCCGGGGCTGCGGAACTTTAGACCCTCTCGAGACGTGCTGAAAGGGTCCTACACGCAGCAAGCCACTACGCAGGCCGTCTACTCACGGAGAAAGTTATAGTCTCCACCCCTCTCTTTTGCTGCTCTGCACTTGCAGTGTATATGTGCCCAGTCACAGTGAAACACTACAGCAAGGAGGACACGTGCGTGCATGCGTGGATAGGGGTGGGGGTGGGGGTGGTTGCATAGCATTTTTCATTGTTGCTGTTACGTGTGCCTTTATAAATTGCTCCTGTTGGTGCTGTCCTGAGGCGATGTCTTATTTTGTTTCCTCGTTGTTGTTGTTTTTGCCTTCCTCTCTTTCTTTCTTGTGGGAGGAGGAGGGGGGTGCGTCGTACATGGTACAAAGGACAACTGCAAAAGCAAACAAACCACAACAGGGAGGGTGTGTGTGTGTGTGAAAGAGGGAGAGGAAAAGAGCTTGAGACCAATGCCGTTTGGGCCATTCCCACCTTCTATTCGCCGGCGCGTTGTCGTCACCGGCCTTGGTGCAGTGACGCCGCTCGGTCTTGACGTTGCGTCAACATGGGCAGCGCTCTGTCAAGGCCTTTCTGCGACACGCCCTCTCGCGGAGGTGCCTTTTTTCTTTCCCGTGTGCCTTGACACAGACCGGCGACTCACACCAGCGGCGCAGCAGAAGTGTCATGAACAGTTGGTTGCCAGCATGCCGTGCAAAGTCGCTGCGCCCGTGTGTGCGGCCCCAGGTGGGCCCACCTTTGCCTCCAATTCACGTGAAACACGCGCGACGATGTTCGCATACCGAGCCGTAGAAGAAGCATTGACACAAGCAAAGCTCTTTGAAGAGTCCGGGAAGCAACTACATGTGTCATGTGCGAAGGAACGTATTGGCGTGAATATTGGTGTTGGGATTCCTTCCCTTGCAGATGTGGCCGATGTTTCGTACAATTTGTACGCCGATCCGGAACGCGTAAACTACAGTCGTGTGAACCCTTTGTTTGTTCCAAAAATTTTGGGAAACATGGTTGCGGGCCTGACGGCAATGAAATACCAAATTACCGGACCCATAGGAAGCAGCGTTGCTGCCTGTGCCACAGGGGCACACTGCATTGGAGAAGCCGCTGATTGGGTTCGTGGTGGGAGGGCGGATGTGGTGGTATGTGGGGGAACGGAGGCGTGTATTACGCCTGTCTCCATAGCCGGATTTAGCCGCATGCGTGCACTCTGTACAAAGTACAATGACAAGCCTCAGGAGGCGTCGCGGCCGTTTGACAAAGATCGTGCGGGCTTTGTGATGGGGGAAGGATGTGGTGTCATCGTTCTGGAGGAGTTGGGGCACGCCAGACAGCGCGGGGTACCCATCCTCGCTGAACTGCGCGGATTCGGCATCTCAAGTGATGCACATGATTTGGCCGCACCACACCCAGAGGGCCGAGGGGCGCAACACTGCCTCCGTGTTGCGTTAGAAGACGGGGGAAATGTTCCAGCGACCGAGGTGGCGTACGTGAACGCACACGCCACGGGTACGATTGGCGACGATCTGGAGCTGCATGCCCTCGACCAAGTGCTGGGGGCTGACGCGGGTTCCGGCCACAACCGCCGCCACCCGCTTTACGTTAGTAGCGTGAAGGGGGGCCTTGGGCACCTCTTGGGGGCCGCAGGCAGCGTGGAAGCCATTGTCGCCATAATGGCTCTCCATCGCCAGCAGGCACCACCGAACATTAATCTCATCGCACCCTCCGCGAAGGGGCTGGAGCGTCTGCAGCTTCTGCGGGGCCATGCGCCGCTTCCCTTTCAAGGTGAGGCCGTCATCTCCACAAGCTTTGGCTTTGGCGGCGTCAATGTGGCGCTGCTCTTCACGCTGGTGTAGACAGCGTGATGAACGAGAAGAGGGTGGAGAAGCGGGATGTGTGTTTGCTGCGTTGAAGTGGAGACAGCTCAGAGTCAAGCGACGACGCATTACCCCCTGTTTCAAAGTATAGATCTCTCTCTCTCTCTTCTTTTTTGCAGCGGGGATCAAAACAACGAAGTCAGGAGGCAAAGAAGCATACACCGAAGCAATCAAAAAAAGAAATGAAAAGCGAGCGACGCACACTTATACGTACACACATATATGTAACCCCTCGCTATGCAGACATGTCATCCGTAGAAGCAGGATAAAGTGATGTGGTAAGGAGTTATATTGGTATTGTGTTGCCGTTTATTTTTATTTTGTTCCCGGCAATGCATGACGACTTTATTGTTTCACTGCCTCGCGAAGACGGGCAAGTAAATAACAAACACGGACTGGGTCTCCCTTTCTCTTTTTGTGCGTCTATGTGTGCGTGGAGAGGGGCGTTGGAGGATGAACAACATCAAGAGGGCAATGATACAAAAAAAAAAGAGAAAACAAGGGAGGAGAGACGTTTTGACTTTTCTCTCTTTTTTACTTTTAGCTCACTGCTCTTTTTTTTTTTCTCTTTCTCTCTGCCCACGCACTTGCTGCTTGTTTCCGTGCAGCGTATTTACCTGTTTCTCTGTAAGGAAAACGAGAAGGAAATAAGACGAGGAAAGAGAAGCAAGGAAAAAAAGGTATACATAATACATATTGAACAAAGGAGGTGACTGAAATCAGCACCACACTTCTGTTTTTGTTTTCTGCGTGCGTGCGTGTGCGTGTGCGTGTGGTCTTCAAGGCCGTGCCGTTTGTTGTTGTTCGTCATTTGTTTGTCTTGTCGGGATACCAGCAACTCCAAACAGAACTAAACACCACAACACGCGTAGTTGGGAGGTAGCCGCCGCAAATGGAAGTGCCACAGCAGCAGCCACCGCGATATGACCAGGAAGAGGTGGATGTGAGACAACAGGACACCACCGCAGGGGCCAATCAGGGCGAACCACGCTCGGGCGGGGTGGATTTCTCAGTGGTGCAGGAGTCACGAGTGTTGCGTCTTCACGGGCTGCCATACTCTGTGCAGGAGGAAACCATTCGCGCCTTTTTTGCGGACTTTGAGCTGGCCGACGAAGATGCTGTGTTGCACTTCACGGAGGGGCTGCACCGTGGCACTGGTTTTATCCGCCTGAAGAACGCCGAGGATGTGGAGGAGGCCATCAAGAAGCTTCACCGCCACCACATTGACTCCAACCGCTACGTAGAGGTTACTGCATCGACCGAGGAGGAGCGTCAGCGGACACTGGAACAGCAAGAGCAGGGATGCAAGACGCATGTCCTTCGGCTACGGGGGCTGCCTTTTAATTCCACAGAGGAAGATGTGAGGGAGTTTATCAAGTCCGTCTCAGGTGTCACTCGCGTGGATATCTGCCGAGACTTGGAAGGCCGCAACACGGGGGATGCGTTTATTCAGCTTGCTACGGAAGAAGATGTTGAGGAAACAAAGCAGCTTCACAATAAAACAATGGGTTCACGCTATATCGAGGTATTGCCATCCACAATGTATGATCGAGATGCCATTATGCGAGCTGCCAGTTTGCGTGCACGCCGTGATCGTCGTGGGGCACGTGCTGGTGAGAGTCCTCAGATGGGTTCTCGCTACTATGGCAATGGTGCTGCACCTGGTGCAATGCAAATGTTGGCACCGAACTTTTTTGACCCTTTTCTTGCGGCTGCGTGCATGGGATATATGCCTCAGGTGGCCTTTGGGAATGAGTTTCAGCAAAACACGTATGACCGCGGTGGTATGCCTCAGGGCGCACCGTATGGGGTCGCGGGTGGTCCCCAACCGCTGTTTCCGATGTTTCCCGGCCAACCACCGATGATGACGCCGCGTGCGCCGAGTGCCCACGTAGTTCGCATTCGCGGTGTGCCGTATTCAGCGACAGAGGAGTCCATAGCGGAGTTCTTTGCAGGGGTGAAGATCCCGCCTCAGGGGGTTCACATGGTGTACAACGAGCAAAACCGACCCACGGGGGAGGCCTTTGTGGAACTGGAGAATGACTCGGATGTGGTGGCAGCCCTGGAACGAAACGGTGGCGCCATGGGGAACCGCTACATTGAGGTTTTTCAGAGTAGCGTGGCGGCGATGCAGCGGTTAGGAAGTCCACTCACAGGGATGAACATGATGCAGTATCCTATGCCGGGTCTGGGCATCATGCCACAGTCGTACTGCTGATGCAGGTAACCAGCCACAACATCCTCGCCCCGGTTGAGGAGAGCAGCGAAGGGAAACCCACAAGGAAACAGGGACAACAACGAAAACCTCCATGCACAGAGGAAACATCCCTCGGCTCAAGCAGAGAGACTATATATATATATATATGGCTCAAACAAGAAGAAATACATAACCATATATATATACATACACACACGCAGCAGCAACAAAAACAGCAAAATGAACCAAAAACAAATAAGAACGGGATCCGAGCGACACAGCGAACTGAAGAAGTGTGGAACAACGAAGGAAGCACGCAACGCTGTCAGCCGTAACTTTGATTGTAGTTCGTTTTTTTTTCTGCTTGTGTTGGGTAGAGTGGGCTTGGTGCTTATGGCATCAGTCGTGGCAAAGACATGCTGAGCGGTAGCGATACGTGCCGCGCGGGGAGTTTGTGTGGAAGCGAATGACGGCAGGAGGAACAAAAGCTGCTGCCGGGGAGAGAAGGGGGGAGGGGGGGAGGGGGGTTGATGGGGGGGGGCGCGGCAGCAGGCGACGACCGACGCCACGCAATGTTGGGTCGAACAGATGCCAAAATCAACGGGTACTGACAAAATAATGTTGAGAGAAAAAAAAAAATAATAATGATAAGAAAATATATATATAAGCACAAGAACAACAACAACAACAAAAAAAAAATCAGAGACAAATTCTGGAAAGAAAAACAAAAAATGCCATTGAACGAATAGCAGCAACGGCCACTTCGACAAAAAAGGGAGGGAGGGGCGGGGAGGTAGAGACAACAAAAAAAAAAAAAAAACAAGCGGTGAGGTGGGGTGGGGAAAGAAAGAAGGATCTATAAATTTATTTATAACTTAATAGAAAACGACAAATAACAAAAAAAAAAAAAACAGAGACACAAGAGTAAAAAAAAAAAAAAAAATGAAAACAGGGAGGCGGGGTGGTAGGGGTGGTGTGGTGCAGTCAAAGGGGGCTGCGAAGCAAAAAAAAAAAACTCATTTACTTTACCTACACAAATGTTCACGTGTGTGCCTGCAGGCATATACATAAGTAACGTTGGGACGCGTATGAGGAAGGGCGCACTTGGAGGGAGGGGCGGGTGAGGAAGTGAACGCGGCAGTGTGATGATTTGTAGGTAACCAAAACCGACGCAAACAAAACAAAAAGACTGCAGGAGGGGATTGGATGGCTGTGAAGAGTACTGATGAAGACAAGACGCGTCACGCCTGAAGAATATCATGCCGGCACGTACTGGGAAAGAGCGATAGAGCAGGAAATTCTCAGGTAACAAGCATTGCAGAATAAAAACCTTGGCGCAGCAAAAAGTTTGTGAGAAACAAATTCAACACCTGAACCCCTTTTTCATTGGTGTGACCCTTGTTGCTTTGCCTTTGGCATGAGTGGGTGGAGGGCCAGGAATATGAGACGAAGTAAAGCCCACGCTCACGAACGATAGCGACGATTGCAAAGTGCTGGGTGGCAATGAAAGCGGAGGAGGCAACACCATGACATTGCAGTCTGCACCTGTGCCGATAGATGCCACACACGCATACGCGTACGTGCTTGCTCGTGCGTATTTGAAAATGTCCCTCATTTGGTTTTGGGGTGGGGGGCGGGGGGAAGAGACGAGAGAAGGGACGGAGGCTGTTTTCCAAAGGTTCACTTACGAGTGGCGTCTCACTGGATTGGGATGAGTAATGAAGAAAAGCACACGCAAACATAAACACAAAATGCGGTAAACCCATTCGTATATATGTATTATATTATATGGTTTATGTGCAATAGATGTACGCGTGTGCGGGGGGGAGTGTGTGTGAGAGAGAACGGGATGCATAGAGGACATAAACTTAGAAGAAGGAGAAAAGTAAGAAGAAAAGGGAACGGCAGTCACTTTTCTTAAGGAGGAATACTTTTCTCCTTCTTCTTTTTTTCTCTATGCAGTTTTTTTTTGTTTATTTATTTTTAAGTCCAAAAGGCTTTTTTTTATCTGTTTTTTTATTACAAGAATGCATGTGGGAGCGACCTGTACACTTCTACGTGCAGCTTCCTCGTTGCCTATCTGCTTCGTGTCTGTGTTGGATCCTCATGTTGCCACTTTGCATGATGCCCCTCTAAGCGAAGGAGAGACATCTATCACGTTCAATAAGGCAGGATTCAGGTGTGTGTGTGTGTGTGTGTGTGTGTGTGTGTGTGTGTGGAC